TTGAGATTCGCCACAAATCCTCGTTGATACGGACTTTCAGCAGCTAAAACCTGGAGGGGCGCAAAAACAAGGGTGAGTGGGCCTGAAAATAAAGTTTTTAATAAAAACCTTTTGAAAACATTATAACCCCTCACCGTAAAACCCGTATAATTCCCCAGAAAATAATAATACATACGTATATAGAAATCATGCTCGAGAGTAGTGAAAACCAAGTATATGCCATGTCAAGTATCTCATCAATAAAATAAGTAAGCCAGGTGAAATAAATCAATGTAAACTGATATGCCAGCTAGAGTCACCTAACGTGACTTGTACGGCTCTAAACCTGCACACGAGTCAAAACCACCTAATGTGGTCTGTACGACATGCTAGGTGTAAATAAATACGCTCAAGTACTACGATCACGTGAAGGCTGTGCGAAGTATCGCAAGTCACCTACGAGTCAAAACCACCTAATGTAGTCTGTACGACAGGCTGGCACCTACCTTAGATCTAAGGTAAGCGTACGGTGCGGAAGGTGAACGATCACGTGAAGGTTGTCCCTGACCTCGGGTTGAGCACTAACATCAGGGTGTAGGATAATGAGTACCAAATGCATCCAGGCATAACCATAATCATCACAACCACTAAAATCATAATGTACTTACCTGTAGCTTAACTGGGCTCCGCAGCATCATACAACATTATACACGACTACACCAATGCATCTACTAAATTATAACGCAAGTATGACATGGCATTTCAATCACATTTCATTTAAAACAATTTCAGGGAAAAACGTAAAGTATACATACGTATATACATACATACATACATATATATATATATATATAGAAAACCAAAAGCCCACTTACTTGGAGTCCGCGCTACAACTCCCTAGCACAACATCAAAGAGTCACGAACGATCGACGCCTAGAACAATTATCAAAATGTCTTAAAATTCTTATCAATAGAACGTATAACTTACATGTCCTAATTGGGAAGATTTGTACATCGGATTTCCGATCCGTAAGTTTCTAATATCCTCAAATATTACGTATTATAACCTATCAAAGTTTGGTGACGATCCAACAGTCGGATCATCGATTGCTATAATAATCAAGTGGCAGACCTTAATGAAACTAGGTTCAAACGACGTCAATTCATCAATCGAACCTCACAAGTGGAATCAAGGTATTCAAATTTAACCTAGGAAGGTCAGGGGATGTCTCGGCCCACGCGCCGCCTTAGGTGGCAGTCGCCCGCCTCGACTCACCGGAAAATTCAACTATTTCTAAAGATTCTCAAACTTAACAGAATGAAGATCTCAGTGAGTAGAGCAACTTTCATACCTGTGACTAAGGTCAATTTGGCCGGAAAACACTTCAAATTCCCTTTGATCCGTCGGAAACCCAATAAAGAGTGATTCTTGATTCGTCCTCAAATAGACTCCGACGCTCTAACCAATGATTGGGCATTGTTTCTAGGCTCAAGGGAAGTATATTGGTGGTGGAGATGGATGTGGTTAGTTTTCGGATTTAAGTGATTCGAACCCAAAACCGCTGCACCCCACCGTGCGGGTTTTCCTATTTTCAAGGCCAAATCTCACCAAATTGAGGTGGAATGGATAGAGGGAAGGTCGTGGAGTTGGTTCTAGGTGGTTAGGTGGTGTAATTCACCAGAAAAATGGGTAAAAAGCCATTTGAAACCATGGAAATCGCGGGTCGGGTCGCGGGTCTTCAAGGACCCAATTCCCTCATTTTCTCCTTCCTCATTTCCCCTCCTTGCTCTCCTCTCCCATTGGTCGGTTCCATCCTTTTTCCTCTCCTGCATTCTCCTTTTCTTTTCATCTCAACCACATACGTGGCTCCTGATCAAAGCTCCAACAAATCTGGAGCCTTCCATAATAACAACCAATTTACCATTTTGTCCCTAACTTTAAACATTAATAACTCTTTCATTATAACTCCAAATTGTGTTCCGTTTGCACCCACGCGTCCGTAGCGACGAGTCCTACGAGGATACTCTAAGAAAATGAATCTTACGTAACATGACACGGCAGTCAACAAAAGTCAACACTTTGCCTCGAAGGGATTTTCGTAAATTCACATTTAAAAATCATAAAGATCGTAATAATTGGGGACAAGTCGTTACATTCAGACTCTGAACTTTTGATCAAAATGTTGGTTCAATATTCTCCTTATCCACCCTAATTTTTTTTCAAGGTAAAAATCAGTAATAAAGTTGTTGGATTTGTCACTCAACGAATAGGAAGTTTCAAATGTACTTTTGAGACATCCTTGGAAAATTGGGTGAATTGTTACAATTCACGAAGAACCTAGCTTTGAGGCCAATGATGGAAATAGGGTAGTGAACAAGATCGCAAAACTGATCGATCACAATATGGTATGAGGATATGAATCAGGGAGTGAAAACATTTATATGTTGGAATTGAATGCTCTAACAAGAAAGGGATTTGGTGAATGTATAAATATGAAGTACCTTTTTTGGAGGACAACTTTTCCCGTTGAATACCACTATTCAGTTATACCCAACAGTCATATCCTTTAGAATGAACTAATTAAATATATAATTATTTTTTTATTAATTAATTAATTAATTTCACTAGAATCATGCGTATATTGGTAAACCATAACAATACACCAATATTGTTATGGTGTACTTTCACACATGATTATACATACCTTGGAAATCATGTCATCATAATCATATTCCAACAGCAACATGCACTCGAAGAGCAGAACAAGCTTCCCCGCTACAGAGACTTGGTGTGTGTTGAATAATTAGAAGGGTTGAGGGTTAGGTTGATAAAAGAGCAGGTGAGATCGAGGGAGTGAGGGAGTGGGTAGGTGATTAATTTTTTTTCCAAAAGTCATGTTTGCATAGTTAAACTTGTTTCCAAGCATACTGTTTTCATGATTGTGCTTCCTTCCAAAGACCAAACGGTTAAATCTTACACTCAAAAATTTCTGATGAACCTTCCGGAGTTTTCTATATTTTGAAATTTTTTGTTTTCAACGGCGAAATCTCGAGATACTTTTCATTGGTGTGAGTTCGAGAACTTACTTTTGCGACTATTCGACTTTTGTGAGTTCTTATTCCGACAAAATCTCTTTAACTTAAACGTACTTTATCTCGGAGTCTATCTTCGTAATTACTCGATTTTTTTTTTTGAACAAACGATATTATCTACATTAAGGGGAAGGATAGGCTTAACCTCACAATAGACAAACAATAATGTAATTTTGTCGGGATAAAAACTCACAAAAATCGAGTAGTCGCAGAAGTAAATTCTTAGACTCGCACAAATGAAAAGTATCTCGACGCTTTGAAACTCAAAATATTAAAAAAATTCAGTGCGGTTTTCTCCAGAAGGTTCGCCCAAATTTTTTAGCGTCGGATTTATGAGTTTGGTCTTTAGAAGGAAGTGTAATCATGCAAATCGGATGTTTGGAAGAAAGTAAGATTGGGAATATGGCTGGGCTCCTTTTTTTTTTTTTTTTTGGCGAGGACAAGGGCTTATTTCTTTCTATTTTGCTTAACAATGTGTTATATCCAACTTTGAAGCTTGTTTTAATTCCCCTCATTTGCTACTTATATCATCCTCCCTGCAAATACACTTGTTTTACATGTCCCACTCAAAACTTATGGTTGTCAAAAATTAGAATAAGGGTAGGCCAAAGTGGAGGAGAAGACAGAATTAACAGTCCTTTGATTTTCATGGATCTCATTAAGACATTCTCTTTAATCTTGTTGAACTAAGTTCATGTGCGTAACAAACATAAAACTACACTAATAGGTAATCTAGTCTAATAAAAATGAGTGATGTCAAGCAAAAGCACCTAATCAGGCTAATCTTTGTTTTGGTTATAAGATGAGTCAAAAATAGACTGAGAGAAGCAAAAATATGTCAACAACAAGGAGACAACTCTTATTTAAGTAGGTGGATTTTCCAAATTACAATGCAGAGCGAGAGAAATATTATCTTTTCAAACATAAAAAGCTGAAAGAGTAAAGCTACGTACATTCAGTGGCAGATTCAGAATTTTAAGATCGGGGGGTCCCAAGATAAAAGTTCAAAAAAAATATATTAGACTAGTTGGGTTCCATAGCACTATTTTTTATTGAATTTGGTTCATTGAATAATCAAAATTAATTAACCACATCAAGTGGCCAAGTGGTAAGGGCGCGGATTTCGGCTCTTAAAATACAAAAAACAGAGAGGTCCTGGGTTCGAGGCTCCAAACTAGTGAGTCTGCTTGACTATGGTCAGGAGAAAACTGAAATGCCTCTGTGAGTCTTCTAGGCCCCTAGAAGGGGTGGATAACCGTGGTTTATCACTAGTTGTCCTGCTTTACAAATAATAATAATCAAGATTAATCTCAAAGGTAATAAAACCAACAAATTCTCCTCAGCAACATAACGCATCAATTAATGACTTTACAAAGATGAAATTTGTTAACGTAAAATATATATTACAATTGGGAGTTGAGTCTAGAGTTTAGAATTAAAAAACTTAAAAGAATTTGGAAGAAATAAAATTAGGTAGCTAGAGGTGGTGGAACGGCAAATGGTGCTAGCGGATGGGGTAACTTGAGTTTAAAGTTGGGAGGTTGCAACGATTTGGAGGATTAAAAAAAAAAATTAGAAACCTCTTCTTCTTCTTTATAAGTACTGCTGCATGCACATCCATGGAGGCAACTAACCTCTCAGCTGCACCTGCCCAAATTGTTGGAGGGTCCTGTAGGTCAATCACAAGTGTTTCTTCGGACTTCCGGAGCGTTCCGGAATCTCTCAGGTCCCTATATAGATTCGTCCATGCGTACATTTACCATATTTTTCATACCTAATTTATACCACTTCTCTAATAAAATTATGGCCTATAACATATGTGGATTAGCAGTGATGTTGAACTTGGGAGAACCGACTAAACTTCGTAATGACATTAGTTCAACTTCGAAGATAAAAAGTCTAGAAAGGTAAAGACATTACATGACATGTCCTATGCAGCTATACGCCCAATCCCAGAACAGCTGGGTAGTGACAAAAGCAAAAAGCTTCCTCTCTTCCAAACTCACAACCCCAGACCCCAAAAGCTGCTCTTTTTTTGGTTGCCTCTCTCTCTCTGAGCTCTCTCCTCTGTTGCCCACATTACCAGAGTCTTCCTCTCAGTCGCAAACACGCACGGACACCCAAAAGCGACTCACTTACCAGTCCAACACAATCCCAAAACCCAAAAGCTCTCTCTCTCTCTCTCTCTCTCTCTCTCTCTCGATCTCTCACCAGTCAATCATGGCTGAAAACGGGCACAAACTACAACAACAGCAGCCAGAAGAAGAAGATGACACGAAGAAGCTATTGTGCTCCTACCTTGGCCTGAGCCTGGGCATTTTCCTGGCTTTAGCTCCCGACAACTTCCAGGAGCTCCAGACCCAAGTGGGCGAGCTCTCTGCCCGGCTGTGGCAGGCGGAAGAGCAAGTCAGGCTCATGACTTCCCGCCGGAAAGAGGACTCCAAAGCTAACGCCAGGGTCGTCGAGATCTTCGCCAGCCACCGCAACGCTTGGCAAGCAGAGGAGAAGCGGCTGCTACACCAGATCGACGCCGCCCATCAAGAAATTGGCCACCTCCATGCCAGGATTCTGGAGCTGGAGAAAACCCAGGACGATTCCAGCGCCAGGATTCGGGATTTGGAGAGGGAGGTTGGGGAGAGGGACGACATGATTGGCTTCATGGCCACCAGAGGCGGAGGAGGAGCTGATGCTGAGGCTGTTGACGCCGACCACCACTGTCACCGCCACCAAGGCAAGGAGGAAGTCAATGTCTACGACAATGCCGTCGCCTTCAGCTTCGACTCCCACTTGGTAGCCGATGCTTCCAAGCTCTGGCAGGTTTGCCTCCATTACTTGCACACATTGGGGCTTCGATTTCGTATGGATTAAGACTTTTAACAGTTTGATTATTATGTTGTTAATTTAGCACTTGCATGATCAAAGACAGCAGTTGAAACTCTTAAGCCATTATTATTAGGCTATTTTTTTTGCCATGACACTCGAACTCGATTTTAATCTCACTTTGTTCTTTGTAACTCAAAAATCATAACTTTACTCTCTGAAACTCAAAATTCGCTTCACTTTGCCCTTCAAACTCGATTTTGATCCCTATTTGTCATCTGAAACTTAAAAGTCCTCTCTATAAAACTCAAAATTCGCTCCATATTACCTTAGATCTGTTAATTTCTTACGTGGGTTTGATTTCGGTGAGGAAGCTAATCAATTCCTTTTCTATTTTTTTTCATCTCTTCAATTTCTTTTAAAGTTAATATTCTCTTGTTGAATGTTAACGCATAATGGAGATTTATAATTAAGTTTATTATACATGTGATATGGTTTTATTGGGGGTTAGGTCCTACGTATGCTTTAGGAGGTGGCCTATTAGAAGAGAGTTCGTGAGTCAAAGTGGAATGAATTTTGCATTTGAGGGAGTAAAATGATAACTTTTAAGTTACAAAGTAGAAATGGAGTTCCAGGGGTGTAGCTAAAAATAAGCCTTATTATTATTAGCATCTTATATTAGCAAACAAGTTACAATTTGGAGGTGCATTGTCTCCTTCATCACTACCAAACAAGTTGCAATTTGGAGTTGCATTGTCTCCATCATCACTTGCAAACAAGTTGCAATTTTGGATTTGGAAGGCATGTGTTTGCTTCCATATGGAAAGGGAATCGTTATCCCGAAATTATGTAACTTGGCATCTCAAGTTCACCCCTTTTTTGGCACTCATCGCTGTAGTAAAGTTCCAACACCAATATTCTCTGCAATGATTTGATCAACTGTTCTAGCTTTTTGGAAAAATGATCGAATAAAGAGAAAAAAGCTTGTCCTTTTCTTTTCCCTCTTGTCTCCTCAAATTTGTTTCTTTGTTCTTACTTCCTGTTTTCTGAAGTGAAAGTTTTAACTTAAATTGCTTTTTAAGAGTTTCCATCTGAGCAATCAAACGTCAAACGCAATTGGAAACAATTAAAACACAATCCAGTGTCGTCTTCTTTCACCGCGTTGCTGGTTTAGTTCTTTGAAGTTTTTCTCATTAAGGACCGTTAACCATTATGTTGGCATACGTTCTCTTCTCCGAATTTATCAAATTGGAAAGGTATGTAGCTTGATTTTATCCTTTGTCCTCCTTATGCAGGATGTACAGTATGAATCCCTTGAACCGTTATATCACATGAAGCATTTTGTGCCAAGGTATGTATTTGACAGCCTATTTGCTGATCAGTTCTGAGGCGTCTAGTTAATGTTCTGCAGCTAATTAAAGATCAACGCGTCTTTATTTCCTAGGGAGTCACCTTGGAAGCTAGATGGTGAGTCGACCAGAATATCCTCGAAGCTAAAATTACTTGAACAGGAATTACTGAATTTGGAAACTATTGGGAAGAGTGATCTTTCCAAGGTACCTTCATCGATGAGGAAGCAGACCAAGAGGTATCAAGCTCTTGCGGGGAAGATAGACGATCTGTGCAGAAGAATGGTAGTGTTTTATGTTCCTTGTTTTACTTTTTCCAAGCTATTTTACGTCTGCTAATAAGAATTAACGGAAGAATTAGTTAACCATAGACATCTTTTAGTTGATGTCACTTAGTTATCACTGCACCCGGTTTGTAGGATGAACTAATTCTTCGTTGGGCAAGTACAAGTTCTGCAGTCGCCCCATATTCTACATTTTCTTTATATCTGTTTTGAATTGTGGCATTTTCATTACTTGTCTCCGGGGATACTTGACAGGCTACAATTTGGGTTGTGTTGCTCGCTAAATTTTCTTGTTTTTACAGCAAGGTAGTGATCCCTCCGAACCTACACTCAGTCCAGAGTTTCGTACACAAAGACAAACGGAGTTTTTACTCGAATCATTTAGACTTCAACAACGTGCAACGGAAACTGGACAGAAGCTGATGGCAGTACAAACGGAGATTGGGAAGAGTTCTTATGGGGACGAGCTGGGGAACCAGGCCAAACACAACACACGACGGTCTTTGGATTCGATCAGAAACAACTTGAAAGAAATACAAAGAAATTTGGAGATATGGCTGGCCCGAATCATCGGAGATCTTGAAGGTATTCTGGCTAGAGATGGCGCTTCTCGTGTAGGGGAATATTGTATCTCTAGATATCCTTTTGTTCAGTAGATCTGTGGATATGAACTTAAATATTTCTCCCAAATTGTTTTCACTTTTTGTAATTATCCTGGTTCCTGGTGCAAATGAAATCATTCCACTTTGTGTATGATAGCATCTGTATATTTCTTCTTGCATGCCCACGTCCAATGCGCCTCTACCACTATTACTGTTGCCACCAACCCTATCTACCACCATCATCTCCGCCGTCACCATCACATGGCCAAGACAGTGACACCATTGTTGTCGTCATCATCGGCACCTAGCCATAACCATGAGCACCACCATCATTCTCGTCGCAACCGCCACCACCCAACAACCATCACTGTCGTCACTACTGTCGCCATCATGACTGCCACCACCTCCACTAGCATGAAAACCAATTACCATAATTCATTTATAGATGGATGAATCTAAATACGCATTATACTTTGTATTAGCTCCTTTATATTTATTTCGAGTTAGCTTAATAAAAAACTTCACAAATTCTAAAAATAAAAACCTTCAATATTTGAAATTCCTTATAATCACTCTGTGATATCATTTTTGTAAAAAATTATAAAATATGAGATCTTTTAGCCTTCGGATTGTATAAAAACACGTTGAAATTGATAAAAGTGTAACGAACCGCCTATCTATTAATTTTAAACGACATTTGTTTTTATTTTATTTTATTTTATTTTTGTAGAGATAATATTTTCAAAATGATATACAATAGTAACAAGTCTGATCACTAAAATTGAGTTTTGTGAATAAGTTACAAAGCGTTTTGAGGAGGAACTCCTCATTTTTAACGAAACTTCATTCATAACATTGTCCATCTATCTATTTATTATTAATTGATTGAAAAATATTTGTTCTAATTAATTTTTTGCAAAATAAATTTTATAAAATTATATACAAAATTAACAATTTTCATTATAAACACGAAATTCTATTAATCATTGATGAAACTTTGTGAAAATGACTCTTCTTGTTCAATTTACCCAGTGGGAAATGTGGACCACTACCCTGTTTCCCAGTTTTCGTTAATTTCGAAACAGTAATTTATCAGTTGCATGGATGTTGACCCGTCAATCCTATCTTTCCTTTGGGAATCGACTAGTCCAACTACCTTTCAGTTCAACCTCTGTTATCTTTTTGGTAGTTGCGCAGCACTTGTTTACCGGGAACAGGATCTCCTTCGGATTTATTTTGTGGGATCCTAGGGATTTCTATATTGTAACCGTTCGTTGTATATTTTGAAATCAATTTTTATCAAGTACTATTTGTATTTAATTTTAAATAAAAAAGTCAAATGATTTCTGATCACACGATACATGATGAATAACTAAGATATGAGGATCTCTAGGATCCCTACAATTTGAATCCAGATAGAATCCAAATCCTATCAACCGTGCTTAACATTATCCTCCGCGGATCACTTAGTACTACGGTCGAATGGTATTCCTCTCATTTGAAAGTGAAAGGTCTTAAGTTCGATTCTCGTAAAAAACAAATTTGAATCACATTATTACTAGCACATTGTGAGACTTCTCTCTTTTAACGTAGATAATATTGTTTAAAGAAAAAAATAAAAAACACTATCCTTCGTAAAGGATCGACCAAAAATACAAATATCCTTTGGGCTGTGGAGAGTGAAACCTTTCATTTCTCCTTACCCTAAACCCTAAACATGTCATTTGTGGTATTTATACGTACAAATTGCGGTTTACACAAAAAAGTATGTAAGAGGGAAGGAATGACTCGTTATAAGGAAGGATCAGAGTAGTGTTACTTTTACCCGTGTTGCCAAGAAGGACAATGTCAGCTACTATTCGCTCTCAATAATTGCCCTGATCAACCCAACCTAAGAGCAATCATGATATTTTAGAACTTGGAAGCTACCTTCAGCCAGTTTAAAATATTGATGTAAGTATAGATGAAAATATCGATATGTAAATTGATGAAAACATCGGTTGTTTTTGACAAAAATGTGTTATCAAAATAGTATATAAACTCATCCAAATTTAGTCAAAATTAAAAGTAAATTTTCTCAAAAACAAAAAAAATAAAAAAAATTTGCAATCAAACAGGTATATCAACTAATCTAACAAAATTTATCGTTTGCATAACGGCGTGGATTCAAACCCTGTCGGTGGCTAATCTAACATCTAATCTAACAAATTTTATCATTTGACAAAAAAATAAATCATTAGTAAAAGTAATGGACAAGTAAAAGCAATTTTTTTTTTTTTTTTTGGTAAAAGTAAAAGCAATTTGGGCAACTAAAATTCACTAACACTGCAAACTCCTTCAAGTATTGTAAACCAACTATAAGTAAAACCATTCTACCGAAAGTATCTCGTAGATTTAACATTCAAATACATTTAGATATAACAGAGTACCAGTACGAAAGAGTACAATGTTTATTTTGATTCAAACACCACCTTACGAAAGCATCAAGTAGAAGCTCCAGCTTCTTCAAGCAGCTGCTTCACCTTCGTGATGTAGTCGCCCATAGCTTCCTCCTTGGATTTCCCTGCCAAAACGAAAAATTATACGTTAGAATTATTCTAGAACATACGGAAAATTATACCTTAGAATTATGCTAGATTATACGACGAAGATTTACATATAATAGAAAACGATATGCTCAGAAGTATCACCTTCAACAGCCTTCCATGCATCCCACTTTGCTCTGTCCCTCATATTGAACATTCCTGGGCGGCCTGCAAGTCAGCCACAAAGAAACAACACGAAGGGAAAATTTAGAGGCAGTTGAGAATCTTATGAATGAAAAATTTTCATTGCAAGTGAGAGAACGAAAAATGGCGGATTCTCAAAATTTTTATGGGAGCATTGTCCTAACTGGTGGTCACTGCTCCAACGGTGGCTTGCTTGTATAGCCCATAGAGGATGAGCTTGTTCTCATTGGTTGTTGACTCTGGAAGGGTCTTGGCTTTCTCAGCATGTTCATCAAACTCTTCCTGCATGACACCCAAATCATCAAATGTCATACAAAACAAAAACTTTGATCGTTGTTCCGATTAAAAGTATATAGAACAAAGTCATAGAGAAACTTTATAAACACGGATGCTAAGAACGTCAAAAACTGTGGAACTTCAGTTGACTAACTAGTAACCATGTATCATTGACAAAAGAAATCGGAGGATGAGCAAATGAAAATAAACGCTACACATTCAACAAGTGAAGATTTTATCACCTAGAAGGTAGATATGCATTCCACATGTACACATTGTGTTCAACTTTACTGTCAATGTAATACTATCAAAACAATGAAATTCTCTCGTAATTGATTACAGTAGGAAGCAAATCATACATTCAGACTATCGTGAAGTGCAATTTATTGCCGCAAAAGCAAGCTTATAACTAGCCAAATCTATAACTGGATGTGTTTAACTGAACCAATACGCTTTACTTCCACGATAAATTTAGACAGTGTTCCAGATTTAGACAGGTATAACTAACTCACAATTCCGAAATCAATAAACATAAAAGGACCAGACCATATACCGAGCCTCTTTACTCTCTGGCCTTAAGTGTGTTCCAAAGTCGAAGCTGCATACATTTGACACTAAAACTTGCTCGGCTTCCTCAACCAATTTGGGATGTGCAAACCCCATTCATTACGATAATTTTGAAAGTCATAGACATGTTAATGCAACACGAAGTATATGGAATTACAAATAATAACGTTATAGGTTTAATGTTTTAAAAGGTGAAGGCAAAGCCAAGGAGTTTCATGGATAGCCCCGTCTAGGTGAAAGCATTGAGGCGTGAGGCAAAGCCACACAGGAACTAAAGTTATATATATATATATATATATATATATATATATATACCCATATATTATAATCAACAATAGAGTCGAAATCAAACATTATAGAACAACAATAAACAATCAAATAAAATATTTATTCGGGTGAGAAACCCTAACAAACAAAAAAAGAAGCCCCAGCCGACTCGAGGCGCCTCAGGCGCCTAGGCGCGCCTCGACCAAGCCAAGGCAAGTTTAAGCCTACTCCCGCTGGGCAGATGTGTTTTCCCCACCGCCCCACCTCGAAGGCCGCCCAGGCACGCCTCAAGGTTCGTTTTTTAAAACACTTTTCAAATGATGGTTTTTGATAAATATCGTTTGGGAAGCTCGTAGGAAACTGGTAGATTGAACTTTAGATTTCAACCTGCTTATCACAAATCTTAGACACTGCCTTATTTCACATTCAGTTCAAGAAATCAAGCAAGCAGTAAGGAGGGAAAATAATCGAAAACCCTCATTAGACGGCGATCTGTACGTTAATAACATCCGGATTTGAACTAATTGGTGTCACCGTGATAAACACTAGTTAAAACTTACAAAAGCTCTGATCCACTATACCAGGATCAAAATCTTGATCCCAAAAACAAGTAAAATACATAAATTAAAGAGAACCCACAATAATTAACTATAATTCTGGCTGCTTTACCTTGACCAATTCATCAAATTCAAAACAAACAAAGTAGAACACAGATCTGAACTAATCACACTACTGAATCCCAAGAAAAGTGGCAAATTTAACGACAAATGGATGATCTTTCATTGATAATATGATATTGAATCGATGTTTACGGGGAAGGGAGAGAATGAGAGCATACCTTCAAACCCATTTGGTTGATCTGCGAGACGGATTCTGGTTCGCTTGGATAAACGTATGGAGTGTGAGTGGCGTGTGTGATGGGGAAGGAGGCGGTAAGCTGTAATATATAACATTCAGCGTTCTCCTACTATTTAATTAAGCGTAAAAGTAGATCAAAATTTTAAAATAAATCTGCAAATTGATACTAAGAGAATAAGCACGTCACTTCAGCAATGCAAATGGTCATTTAACACAGTGGTACAAAAATGTTAAGTTTTTATATAACAATTTGGATTCAAATTTCGTCAGTAATTAATCTAATAAAATTTATTTTTTTAACAAAAAATAAAAAAGTAACACTTAAGCAATAATTTAATTATTAATAACTACATCATTTCATTTACAAAATTTAGTTTAAAATTTTGATGTTTCTAACATTCTATTTTAATTAATAATTGCCACTCAACATTGGTTTAAAAAACAGAAAATATTTTGTCTTCAGTTTTCTAGGCAATAATAGAAGGGAAAGTAAAAACTGATTTAAGGTGATGGAAAATAGTTTTTTTTTTCGATGGAAAAAGCATATTCCGTGTGTTATTGATGGATAGAAATTAGAATTGAGGGGTTCATGAATGGGTTTGGGAATTGCTATCTACTTTTTCGGTTCGGAGTTTAGCATCATTTGAAATGTGACAATCGATAACTGTTTGGTTTATGCTGCTTCAATTTAGATTCTTTTTATGTTTGTTTTTGCTACCTTTGTGCCTATGTGTGGGATTCCTATTATATCTAGAGTTGCAACGCTCCTTTTACTTAGGCCCTTTATTTTATCGGTTGTTTATGAGAAGTCTTTTGATCTATCTCTTGCTTGTGCTAGTTTTTTAATGTAAGTAATTTCGTTTGAGAAAAAGAAAAAGAAATGGAATCACAGTAAGGTCACGACAGATAGGCCCCCATATTTAATATAAGTAGGTTATTGACCAAAGTTACGTTATTAGTTGTAACTACTAACTACTACCTCTAAATGCCGATCCATCTACCAAAGATATTGCACCTTTTTTTTTTAAATTTAATTAATAAATAAAACAAAAAGGGATTGCATGTTTGACAAGTTTTTGCATACGTGATTTGTTGGATCTAAATTTCTGCATTTTTATGTGTGGAAGAATGATCGTAAGAAACCTGCAAGACAAGGAAACAACCGTTAATAAGCCAAGGCGAGCTAATTACACTAACGCTATTGAGGTTTGACGTGTTTTCACAAAATTCACTCATACTTAATAGCGTACGCTATATACCCTTTAAGCTATGAATTCACTCCTACAATTAACTACTTAAAAGAAAGTGTTATAAATGTACAGAAAATGAAATCAAAATTTATATTAAACTTAAAAATAAAAGAGTGCATTTTTGCTTAACCCAAGTGAGGGTGATTGGTTATGTTAGGTTAGCTATATGTTGTGCATTATCAACAATTCCACATAAGTATGAGGTCAGAAACTCTTAAGTACGGTTCTAAGGGTGAGAGCTTTCAGCCATATGGATAGTTCACAGTGTTCATCAACACCTAATCTTTTTTTTTTTTTTAGCACAAGGAGCATTGGGCTTTTTTTAGTTTAAAATTTGAAATTCATGTCTTAAACCAATTGAATCAAACTAATCTTACGACAAATTTTGGGCAAAGTTGCACTCTTAAAAAGAAAAAAAAGCCAAATTCTTGTGTGCGTTATGCGAAGGTGAATTGAAAACTGATGAGGTGTTAATTTTGTTATGGTAAAAAGTGTGCAAAAGAAACTGATGGAAAAGATGGAATTGTCAGATTTAGTTATTAGAGAAATTTTTTTGAGAACTTTAACGAAAAGCTTCTGGTACTGTTTACTTTAACGAAAAATTATATTTTTACACTAAAAAGTCAATTATGATACTATTCACTTTATCTTTTATTTTGTCTTTATCGTTAAAAGTTAAAATTTTCAAATTATTTTCATTAGTTTTCATTTTTTTTTATGGGTCATGAAATCAACTCTGAATAAAGCCCAAGGTAAAACCAACAAACCGAACTGCTGGAAAACTCAAAACGATATTGGAAGAATACAGAGAGCCCATGGATGCTCTATCTTCATCATTATCGCCTCACCAACACAAGCAACACCACCCCTCACAACCACATCTAACACATACCTAAGGCCTTCCATAGTAGGTCAGAAAATTGAGTGTGATGCCAATACTATAGGGATCATACTCTTACGGTAGGCTGGAAAATTTGAGTCCTAGAAGAGTGAATTTTATTATTTTAATTCAATATACTCATAAAATAAAGAAAAAGAAAAAGAAAAAGTAAATGAATCCTACATTTAATGCCTCTGTGGTCTTTCTGGTCCTCAAAAAGGTAAATTGCAGTGACAAAGCCACCAACTGATTCATTTTTTGTAAAACCTAAACAAATAACAATAATCAAACTCACATCATTGTGGCAATAATGTAATACAAATGAAACTCGTATTACTTAATTCTTACATATACACCATTTTGGAAGGCCTAACGCTTAAATGAGCCATTCAATTAGCTAAATGAGTACCCTTTGACCGTCTCTAGGTTCGGTTGACATCTCTTTGGGTTTTCTAAAGTGAGGCCTTTTCTTAAAGTTTGGACCAAGGCCTCCATGCTCGTCTTGAGCTTGGGCCGGATTTGCTGAGTTTCAAGTTTCTAACTACATGAGCATCAAGTGAACGTCAATAATGTTGCGCACATAAACAAAATTAACGCATCTGTTGACTGTCTCTTTAATGGATGTGAGTTTCTGTCATTACAAGTGGAACACAACACATCCATATTGATAAGTATGTATCTAAGTAGCATTAGTACTCCTCTTGACAGCCTAATAGAAAATAGATCTGGCAACGAGTTATATTTGTCGAGTTTGTGTCATCTGGCAACGAGCTATATTTGTCGAGTTTGTGTCATACTTATCAATCTAAATAGCATTAGTACTCCTCTTGACAGCCTAATAAAAAATAGATTTGGCAACGGGTCATATTTGTCGTGTTCGTGTCATACTCGTTATCTTAACGTGTCATGTCGTGTCAAACCTGTTATCATAATGGGTTCTTAACAAATGGTAGGTCTTCCATCTTGCAAATAAGGCATATCTTGTCCAAATAAAAATTTTGCCCGATTCAACAATGCGTCGTATCATTTTGTGTCAGTTAATATGTCATGCAAAAAATTGCGATGTCTGATGTCTAGAATTGGCAAATGATATTATATTGGATTTTTAACAAACGATCCAAAAACGACCTGACTTGTTAACAAATTTCTAACATGTAACCTAATAACAACCCAACCATTAATGAGTTGACCCAAAATTTATTTTTTTGTGTCGAGTTAATGGTTCGTCCAATAAATGGTCAGTTACAGAGGGTATTAAAAAAAAAAAATGAGAAAATGAAAAAGGAAAAACCTTCAACTGCATGCCCATTTTGTGGATGCGTTATTATCCAGAGTTCTTCCTTCTTGTCCTTATGCATGGGACTTCGGAGTGCAATAACAAAATAACAGATAAAGCAAAACAAGAGAGAGAGAGAGAGAGAGAGAGAGAGAGAGAGAGAGAGAGAGAGAGAGAGAGAGAGAGCAGCAGCTCGGTTCCGGGCTTAAATTCCTCTTTCTCTGTGGATTTCTTTTCTCTTATGGAAATCTGTGAATCCAGCAGCAGATAATTAATCAAAGTGGGCGGTGTGGAGATGGATGGTGGTGGTTCAGAAAGTCAAGGTCTTCCTCCTCCTCCTCCTCCTCCTCCTAGTACTAAGTCATCTACTCATCGTCGCGCTGCCGCCGCTGCCGCCGGCGACGGCGGTGATGGTGTTGCTGGAGAAGAACAAGAAGCTGCTCCTCCTTCACACACTCGGACTACAGTCCATCATAACTCTGACGCCACTCATGACCAGGTAATTGATTAATTAATTCTTAATTTAATTCTCAAAATATTGTCATTAACTTTTCTGTTTACAAAACAATTCTCTCTTTTCTTTTTAATTTTAATTAAAAGCATATTTTAATTTTGGCAGTGGTTTGTTTGGTTACGTTGCGTGCATCTTAAATGCATCTTGGTAATGGTGGCTACGTCTCTTTCTTTTGTTTTGTTTGTGCAAAAATTCTTGTGTTTGTTTGTGCAAAAATTCTTGTGCTATGGAGCACGGTAGCTGTTTTAACCTGGTATTCTAAATGTTTTAATAGTTAGATTTTGATTTTTTTTATATTTTTAAGTAAAGATCTCACGGCCAAATATCGAATACCCAACAAAATCACTTGTTTGTTTCATCACGTATTGTATGTATTTTTCTCATTTCCATTTGTGGTCTTTTGAGTTATGGCAGCGCTAGTAGTCCTTGATGATCTATATTATACAATATTGATCTAATTGCACTTTTTTATATTTGTAAGTTATATGTATTAGATTTAAATTCATGAATGATGAATTTATTATCAATTTATTTTCTCACCGTTAATTTAAATATATCATCGCCTAAAAAGTCCAAATGGAATTGATACTTTTAGGAAAATTTGTTTGCATAAATTCCACATGGGTTCGTCAGCGTTCCTAGCCTAATGACTATTTTAAGAGCATAATGTGTGCACGCATCAGATTCGACGTACAACTAAAGCACCTGTACTGTACCGTCCTTTACACCACTAATTCACACTGATTTAATGCGGTACAACGATTTTTTTTTCTCTGTGACCGGAACACAAAGGGTAAACTACGTGTTTTTATACAAGTAGTGAGAAATTTTATTTTTTAACTTATTAACTTTTTAACACACACATCCCACCATTTGTATAATGACATGTAGTGTACCACCTCGTGTTCTTGTCACACTGAAAAATCTCTCTAGTACAACAAACACCTGAAATTCGGTATCTACTTTTTGAGGTTTACTAATACGAAAGATAAATGATAAGTGTATTCTCTTAAAACGGGATTTTTTATGAATTTTTTTACTGTTTATAGTTTAGTGTTAATATTTTAAATATTATGTTAAAAATATAAAATGACAGAGAGATTAAAAAGTTCTATTTTTAAGAAAGTCTCTTAACATTTTTTTTTCAGAACAAATTAGAGGTCATTAGGTTTTAGACCAATTGAAGGTTTGGTCTGTGGACTAAAATTCGTGGTATTGGTTTATGAATTAAAACATGAAGTATGATATACTTTCGGGTGCTAACACTAAAATTTTCGTCTAAAATAAAGAGTTTAATGGGCAAATAAGATATGGAAGTTTTTAAACCAAAAAGACTATTATTTAACACCATGTCGAGTTCTTAGACCAGTACTTAATGATTTTAGTGAAATGATTAAAGCTCTAATTGGATAAAATCCATGTAATAATGCTCCAATTTTCTCTTTCTAGTAGTATGGGTGTATACTATACATCAACATATTGGTGATTGCTAGATTTTTGAACGCACATATATACTAAGTGTTTCATTCATTCAATTATGCCATACACCAAAAAATAATAGAATTTTCATTGTGCTTGTTGGGCTTGACTTTTTATTTTCATATTATAGGTGATAGAGGGAGTATATATTTTTTTTCTCAAACAAGTTATTGCTATTAGTACGTTTCCAATTTAGTTTGGAATGTTAAAAACTTTTCTTTTCTATAACAGTAATACTATTTGTGAACAAAAAATTGACACATTTAGCAACACATCCTAAATATAGGTGAACCCTCTTGTTGAAACGTTTGTCAGCATGTGTGTTAGTTTTGTGTACAATTAGCATTGTTGTTATGATAAATATTGGTTCTTTTACACACAAAATTGAGTTGAGATTCTCTTTGGATCTCTATTTCTAGAGCCTAAGAACCCAGAGAGCTGGGTCGTTGAAGAGAGAGAAAGAGAGATTCAGACCCTTAGTTTGTGTGAAGCCGGCCACTGGAAAAAAGCTAATGAGGACCACATGTTTTAAATTTTAAAATAAGTGGTTCAGATCTCTAAATTTGTCGGTTCCGTACATAGAGATCCGAAGAAGATCTCAATTCCATAAAATTGTCTTCTAAATGAAAAGTATAGTTAATGGCTGTAATGAAGGAATCTATAAGAGGTCAAACTTGAGTTGAGATCAAAACGCTTTTAGTGATCTAAAACCACTTATAAATTATATCTAACTTGAATTTTTAACAAAAATTTCAACACACTTCTAATGCAAACAACCCTGTAAGTTTCTAACATAAGGGCATTTAAACAAAAGCAGCCCTAAAGCATCGTCCTTCACAATCCACAGCCACTTTGATCCTCTGAAAAAAGAAAACTTGCTAAAACCTTGGGTTGCACGACAAAGTAAAAATTGATAAACAAACAAAGTCTTCCTACTCACTTAACTAAAAAGATATTCCACTCTCTGCCTTGGTCAAATCCCACCTCCACTGCTGACTTATCGGCTGTGTCCGCTGATGTGTAAAACTTGGAGCTTCCTTTGTTCTTCAATGGTGGAGATTATCTACCCCAACACAACTGGAATTGTTCCCTTCTTTTCATCTTCCTGGTTTGTTCATTTTCCTTTCTTCTTCGTAAGATTTGTTTTTGAGAAGTTAGTGCCCCCAAGTTTGAATCTCCCTCCTCATAGTTATATGAATTTAGTGTAGAATATTGGCTGTATAACTAAAATTGGTAGATTCAAAATTTAAACTTTTGTTTTGATTGATGAGGAATTGAGGATAGTTCAGTAATGTACTTGCTTGTGTAAATATAAGCATAAGCACCTTTAAACCTAATGCCAATGAAAATCGAACTAATATTTTTATTTGACAAACTATGGTAAATGTAGAAACTGATGACCACAGAAGAAACTACGCAAGCTTCCATTGAAATGGGAGAGCGTAACGGGAACGGTGCTGAATATGTTTCAGTTGGTGAATTACATTTCCCTAGGGCTAGGGTAGATAACTTCAAAAAACTCTCACTTCTGCCTCTTGTCTTCATCATCTTCTATGAGGTATCTGGGGGTCCATTTGGGGTTGAGGATAGCGTCCAGGCCGCTGGTCCGCTTCTAGCCCTTGTCGGGTTCTTGGTCTTTCCACTCATATGGAGTGTTCCCGAGGCCTTAATTACCGCGGAGATGGGTACCATGTTCCCTGAGGCTGGGGGTTATGTTGTTTGGGTTTCGTCGGCTTTGGGTCCCTACTGGGGGTTTCAGCAGGGTTGGATGAAATGGCTAAGCGGGGTTATTGACAATGCTTTGTATCCGGTTCTGTTTCTGGACTATTTGAAGTCGGCAATCCCAGCGTTAGGTGGTGGCGTTCCAAGAGTTGCAGCGGTCTTAGTTTTGACATTGTTGCTCACTTACATGAACTATAGGGGTCTGACCGTTGTGGGTTGGGTTGCTGTTCTTTTAGGAATTTTCTCAATAATGCCTTTTGTGGTTATGGGACTTGTGGCAATCCCCAAGGTGAAGCCCTCGAGATGGCTAGTTGTAAATCTACACAATGTGGACTGGAATTTGTATCTGAACACTCTCTTTTGGAATCTCAACTATTGGGACTCGATAAGTACACTTGCCGGAGAGGTAGAAAAGCCAAATAAAACTCTCCCAAAGGCTCTGTTTTATGCTTTGATATTAGTTGTTCTTGGATATTTCTTCCCGCTCTTAATGGGTACTGGGGCTGTTCCACTCGACCGTGAGTTGTGGACAGATGGATATTTCTCAGATGTCGCTAAAATTATTGGGGGAGTGTGGTTGAGATGGTGGATCCAAGGGGCTGCAGCAGTGTCGAATATGGGGATGTTTGTTGCTGAAATGAGCAGCGACTCCTTCCAACTTCTTGGGATGGCGGAACGAGGGATGCTCCCTAAGTTTTTTGGTAAGCGGTCTCGTTATGGAACCCCAGTGATTGGCATTTTGTTCTCAGCTTCTGGAGTCCTTTTGCTATCTTGGCTGAGCTTCCAAGAGATTGTAGCTGCAGAAAACTTCTTGTACTGTTTTGGAATGATTTTGGAGTTTATATCATTCATACGGTTAAGGGTGAAGTACCCAGCTACAACTCGGCCTTACAAGATACCCACTGGAACAGTTGGAGCCATTCTTATGTGTATTCCTCCAACTGTATTAATTTGTGTAGTTTTGGCTCTTTCAACACTCAAGGTCGTGATTGTGAGCCTCGCAGCTATCTTGATCGGCCTTGTGATGCAGCCATGTCTCACTTACGTTGAGAGAAAGAGGTGGATCAAGTTCTCCGTCAGTGCTGACCTCCCAGATCTTCACGGTGCAAATCAGGAGAGTGTTGGCTCCATAAGACATTAGTAAGTCCTCAAAATATGCAAAGCCATTGTATACTCAATACTGTAGGTCGTTGGTGTCGTTGGTGTTGAAGCGATGACTACGCTCAAGTCCATAGCAGATGTTGACTGATAGCTAGTTATCATCTGTGTGTGTTTTAAGACGATCATCGATGGAAATGTTTGATTAGATGTTGAACTATCTGTAACATTAATTGACTAGGGAATTATGTGAATTTGGTTTCAGTGGATTTTTGGAATATCATGTTCTTGAAGGACATTTGCAGAAACTTTGAAATGTAAGATGCATGTTGTGACTTGTGGGAGAGATGTATATTGCATGTCCTTCCTTGGAGGTGACATACAAAAATAAGAAATTTCACCACTCCTGTAACTTCTGAGTTCTAATTTTATAATTCCGTCATTTAAAATTTCATGTTTAAATCCATCAATATGATTCAAACGTTAAATCAATATATTAAACTCATATAAGAATCATATTTCTACAGTAGGTTAGAAAATTTGAGTGGTTGTTAACGCCAAAATCTAGTGGAGTTGACAAACAGTGGCTTTAGGGGATAAGGTGGTTTTAGGGTTGTTGCCTAGTTTGATAGAGGGCTTGACGGGTTGGCATGTGGGTGCCCCAACTTGCGGAAGCTTGTGGTGAATGAATTGCACAGGTACAGCGATAATGTGCTGCGTAGGATTGTGGCGTGTGAGAATTTGCAGATGTTGAAGCTGGTTGCAAATGTAGAAGGGTTTAGGTTTGGCGCTCCGAAAGCAAGAAGATTTTTTTTTTATTAAGTTTAATTTTGTTCAGATAAAAAAATTCTTAATTTATAATATTTAATTAATTTTTCAATCTAGTTGGCTAGGGGCTTTGCCCCTGCCACCTTAGCAGCTAACGGATAAATTGACGGACAATGAGATAAATGTCTAACATTGCAATGAATTTGTAAGTTGATATATGACATTTTACTGTTCAAAAATAATGTATGAGTTTGCCATGTGACAAACATTGAAGTAGTAAGATGTAATTTTATCCAAAATTAAACAAAGAGCAGGAAAAGAGAGAGAATAAGGAAACACTCAACTGCATGCCAAATTTGTGAGTGCTTTATTACTATGTCTCCTTGTCCTTAGTGCATGGGCCGGAGTAGGGAACAATTAGGTCATCTCCAACCGAAGGTTAGTCAGATGGCTCATTTTAACCCTCTAACCTTCTAAGAAATTAATATTTTAATGAACAGTACATTACCATATTTGACTTCATCTCCAACTGAGGGCCAAAGGGCCATAGTGCTCGTTTTAGCCCTGTCACAAAAAACCATATCCAACCCAGGGCCAAAGGGCCAAACATAATTTATTATTTAAAAACTACAACTTAAATTCAAATTCAACAGCTAAGTGACGTCAATTAGCCGTTGGATTTGAATTTTTTTTTGCTATAAATAGGGTGGATATTTGGCTATAATTCACACAACTTTGAATTCAATCTCTTTCAATTCAATCTATAAATAGGAAAAAAAATGGAATTTAAAAAAAATATGAAACAAATTTTGTAAAATAGAAGTTATAGAAAAAAATAGAATTTAAAATTAGAAGTTATAGGAAAAAAAATTGTAATTAAATAAAACTGTAAAAAAAAATAAAATAAAAAAATAACGGCTAGCTGACATTTGAAAATTTGGCCTAGCATTCCTGTCGGATATAACCGATAGGAATATACATATTCCTGTTAGTTATATCCGACAAGAATGCCCACATTTATGGCCAGCCTTTTCAGATTCCGTGGGGTTTATGAGCCATTTGGCCTAGCCCTCGGTTGGAGACGGTTTTCGGCCCTCTGGACCCTTCGGTTGGAGATGACCTTAATTGAAGAATTAACTAAGCACCCTGTGGCGGTTTGGCGACTCAGCGGTTGCAGACGAATTTTAGACTCGTGTTTTATACGGCACATTTTGAGTTCGATTTCTGACGTTGGCGAATCGCATAGTAATGATCAAAGGAGGCTTAAATGTCTTAGTGAGTCTTTTCGATCTCTAGAAGGATGGACTGCCTAGTTGGTCCCTTTTTTTTTTTTTTTTTTTTTTTTAAAAAGTGCAAGAGCAAAACGACAAATTCACGCCAAAGCAAAATGGACATAAAGAGAGGGAGAGAACAAAACAAGTCCATCAACTTCCTTATATAAGCTGACTAAATTTTTTACTTAAAAGCCTCAAATATGTGAGCATATAGCTTCAATTCCTACTACTGCTCATCACGCTGCCGCACAAAGAGAATGAGAAGCCTAGAAGGAGTCTGATTCTTGCTCTTGCCGTTGCTCAAGCAGAATAAGAAGTTGGTCCTCCATCTCATGATTCTCATCCTAATTCACACCCTAAGACTATCAAGCATAACTCTGACGCCACACTTGAGACCTGACTAGGTACGAGGCTTATATTTTTACTTCTCATACATTCATCTGAAATTTTGGTCGTCAAATTGAATGAATTGAAGAAGATCAATAACCAAAAATCAACAAAAGTGTGTTAGAGATAAAAATAAGTGTGTGAATAGAACTACCTAAGAATAACTGAACATAAGCATTACATTGGACCATGCTTTGCTATTGAAAGAAAAGTAGCACTTGCTGCTGCTGAAAAACCAATCACAAACGGGCACGTATTTGAATAATTAATATTAAAAACTATGATTTTGTTCAAACAAAAATTAAAAACTATGATTGGACACTTTGTGAAACCCCGTCCTCGATTTATCGTATTTATACTATCGGATTTATGAAATTACCATTGTACCCTTGAGTTGACTTTCGTTAACCATCTCGCCGAAACCCGTAGTCTTAATTTAATTTATTTATTTGTATCGTACTCATTGTCACGAACTCGTAGGCGTGAACGGATTTGAATTCGAATGTATAACGAAGATTCTACATTCTAACTGTCGAACGTTTTTGGATATTTTGTGTTTCGTTTTATGCATTCTTAAATTACGAACCAAGGGGACCCACTTGGGATTCTTGTCCCCTTAACCTTAGCCTATCCGGATATGCCTTCCCCACTTTTCAGATTTCTTACTTTCTTATCTCTCTCCTTCTTACTTTCTCTCCTTTCCCTTTTAATTCTCCCCGTGCCCTCTCTCTAAGTTCACTCTCACAACAAAAAGAACAACCCCAAGACTCAAGGTTTGGACGTTGGACTTCAAACCCTAGGCCAAACTCAATACTTCAGCCATGACAGTCACGGTGCACCCTTCCCCGACAACTTTCGTTACTTTTTCGACGTGGGTAAGTTCCTAGAAACCCTTGGGCTGTGTTTTAAGGTTAGATCAAGGCTTGTTGTAAGTTGTTTAAGCTTCTTAAACGCAGAAATAGCTTGGAGTGAGTTTTCCCCAGTTTTTAGACTAGCACCGCCACTTTAGATGCGTTTTCCGGCCAATCCACGATGAGTTAGTCGTCGTGCGAGGTACCATTCTCTTCATCTTGTTGAGAACTACAACTTTTATTTTTGTATCACTTGATTTGGTTGAGTATTGAAGAAGTTATAAACATTTGAAGGTTTGCCTAGAAACTAGCCGATCCACGACCTGAAACCGGGTTAACCGAACCCGATAACCCTAAAATCGGGATCCAAACCCAACTGCTACCCAGCCCAACCCAGAGACCCATCCCATTAAGCCAAGCCCAAACCCTAACCCTTGACCTAAGCCCAGAAACCAAGCCCAACCCAGATTCCAGTCCTCGCGTGGAGCACACGCGCCTCCATCAGACGATGGCGCCAACGATCCAACTTGGTGCATGGCGGCGACGCGTGGGGGTACCTAAGGTTCCCCCTTAGGTTTTTCGATGTCCTGAATCCATTTATGACATCCATTTTCCGAAATTCAATCGTTTTAGTATAGTTTTATTAATTGGTCCCTTTATGTGCTTAGGTGCGTTTGTTAGTGGCGTTTCCGTCCTCCCTAGTTCGCACGGCTCTTTTATGACGGAGTATCTGTGAGTGGACCCCTTCTAAAATGCATGATTTTACTATTAAAAATGCATACATGAAAAACATGATTTTTATGGATACGTTTTATGAAACATTTATGAGAAAATTGGGTTCATACTTTATGAAATATCATGCTTCACTAGATTTATCCTTATTTAGATATTCACGAATATGATTTAAGATATGATGTTTGAGCTATTGAGCTCCGTTGAGATATATACACATATTTTGGAAATATTATGTTCATGTTTTTATTGTGCTTATTTAGTGGCTACTTATACTATGTGCCTACAGGCGAATGATATCTATATATGGCTTCGGTCGGGTGTTGTAGGGGTCTATATATGGCTTCGGTTGGATGATGTAGAGGCCTACGAGCGAATGAAGATGCATATATGGCTTCAGTCGGGTGATGCAGGAGCCTATGGGCGAATGAAGGCCTTCGGGCGATTTTGATACCACTACTAAGCACACTATATATGATATGTGTTTATGAAGTTTTATGACAGGCTAGGGTTTTCGGAAAACCTATTACCTATTATACTATTAAGTTTTCATAAACTTTGGGGGTCAGTACATTGATGAATAATTGTTTTAGTATTATTTATATATCAGCTTGATTCACTCATGTTTTGTTTTGCGCCCTCTCAAGACCTAGGAACTAGGCATACGATCCGACCTACGTGGTATTCCCATATTAGTGACTTTGTGTCCTTTTCTCCGCTTGGACATTCTTGTAATAACACTTTCTGTTACACCTTCCGCTTGTATTTTGAATTAGTAGTATGCTTTGAATATGTCAGACATTATCACTATTATTTTGTTGGCAGTTGAACTTATTATATTATTTTGTGAAGGTTGTATTTGAATTTTACATTGTGTAGTTATGCGCGAAATTTTTATGCATGTTTCACATGTCCTCGGCATATGCATTCATAAAATGGCTTGCATTACCTTGGGTGTCAGCCAGCACGTGACCATCTCATTGTCCTTCAGACACCGAGATCGGGATGTGTTGCACTTAATCCATTTGTGATTGGAAACATGGTTCCATTACAATTGTTATAATATGGCTTACCTTGTTCTTGCTGAGCTTGGTACTCGGTAGAGGTCCAAAGGAAATTGGCTTAGCAAATTACACCCCACATTTACACTCAAAGTTTTATTTCACCATTGTAGAGTAAACTTTATGATGAAAATTCTCTCCACATACTTTTTTTTTTCATGAACGATTGAGATTTAACTAATTAAAATTTATATTAAATTTCAATTGTAACACGATTAAAAAAAAAGTGCGGTTGAGCAAAATCGATTCTCTTATACATACATTAAATTAAGGCTTTTTAGCCAAAATAGTCACTGAGATTGACATAACTCTTTGCTTTGGTCCCTAATATAGAACTGGTTCCTGAATTTGTCTACCATCAATCATTTTGGTCATTTTGTGAAAAATTTCCGTTAAATAAAGAAAAAATGACAAAGTCCATTGTTTATTAAATTGAGGGTATTTTAATCATTTTGATCTTTATTTAACAAAATTTTTTCACGAAAGACTAAAATGATTGATGGTGTGCAAAGTCAGGGACCACTTCTATCGATTTCAAATCTCAATAATCAAAGTGACGAGTTATGTCATTCTCAAAGACCATTTTAGATAAAAAATAAAATTAAAAAAAAACCTTAAATTAAAGTCTGTAAAGATCAATAACGTTATTCATGTTCACAAATATTATAACACTTTCATTCAGTGTCTTTAATAAATTGGATTTGATTCATAATTTCGTATGTCAAACTCATCAGTGTTACATAGTGCGATGATGAATGAAATAAACGTGTCTTTCCAACAAAAAAGGTCGAAAAAGTGGGAAATTTTAAGGGAAAACTTTGAACAGCATGCCAATTTCGACTTCTTAAAAGTTGATTTGGAAATATGTACTTATATATATATATATATATATATATATATATAGACATGTATATCGATCAGATAGGCAATTAAACAAAGTATTCTTGTTCCTGCTGCTGCTGCTTATGATGGTGCTGCACAAGGAGGAGGAGAAGGAGCAGAGCAGCGGCAGCAACTCTCTCTCTACAAGTATTATTCCCACTGCTGCTGGAGAAGGAGAAGGTGCTGCTGCTTCACACACTCAGACTACCGATCACCGTAACTCTGACGCCAGTCATGACCAGGTATATATGAGATTAATTGTTTAATTAATTCTGGGAAAATGTGTTTACCTTATCGTTTCCGTTTACAAAACAATTTTTCTGTCTTTCTGGGTGGACAGTCATTGTGCCATCATTTTCCATGGTGTCTCTCTTTTTTTTTTTGCTCGTCAATTTCCATTTTCTGAATTTCTTGGCTCATCTTCTTTGCCAACTGAGATAATGGGATAATTTTAATTTAATACAAATTCTGAATAAATCCAAATGGAAAGGATACGGGTGAAATAAATAATAAATACACACACATTTTTTGTTTTGTTTTTGGCATTCACTTTAAATAAAACAAATGAAATCAATATACAATATTAATAATAACACTGCCCTACTTGATGTTTTTTACCTTTACCGGCAAAAACTCGCGCTAAAAAACTATTTATTTTGAGCACGGATTTTCTTGGTCTATGTTTCTCTTGTTTTTACCATTTATAATTTTCTCTGGTTAACGCTAGTTGTAGTTTTGCCAATATTCATGGATTCCTTTATTTTCATTCTCTCTCACAGGGGAATATGATAATTAGGTGGTATACTATTGGTACATGCATAATAGAACACCTTCTAACATAAATGCAAAGGGATAATACTTGCACGTATTCAATCATTTACAAATAAAATAAATTTACTGTATAAATATTATAATTCAAATTTTAATCATTTTTGTAAATAATATTCAAAATAATAATTATAAAAATTAAACTGTTCGAATTAATAAATTTATTAAGTAAATATACATTATTCGTAAAGGCTGGAATACACCCCATTTCTCATGAGATGAAAGTATGTGTCCTACCCTAATGACTATTTTAAGAGCATAGTGGTGTGGATGCATCAGATTCCGCGCACAAACTAGGGCATACACTAATTCATAAAGATTTATGCTGTTCGGCAGACACATGCTGAATTGGGCCTCTATTTTTGAGATGGAAATTGATTTTCACGTCTATTTCATTTTTGTTTAATTTTGACTGTTAATTTTGTTTGATTGATTCAAACGATGGCAATATATAAAGATATGCGTATAAGAAGTTAAAAAATATGTGTAAAAATCACTTCATTTTTTGACATTTTTTAGAAATATCTGTGTATACTATATAACAACATCTGTGACTATTAAATAACAGTTAGACTCTAGTCCGCACATACAACGCTTTATATAACAATTTTTGCCATGTTGAAGTGACATTTGTGACTACTAATAGAATTTTCGCTATCCTTGTTAGAGCTTTTACATGTTCGACGCTTACACTCAATCCACAACAATAGAATTTTCCCTATCTATGTTAGTGCTTACATATTATATTCCACAAAAGCGTCATACAAAATGAAGCCTTTAAAAAGTTAGCTGACGTGTTGAAGTAAATGGGTTTAGAATTGAAGAATATCTACATTGAAGACGATTGGATTTTAGATAAAGCAATATAGTTTAGAAAATATACAGCTGTGAAAATGATAACTAAGTGTTTGGTAAATTATAATGTTAAAAATGTTTTTAGCAAAAAAAAAAAAAAAAAAAAAAAAAAAAAAGACAGAGGTAGTATTGTTAATATGAAAGTTTCAATAATTAGTACTGCTCCTCCATCTTCTATAATAAAAAGCTCTTTTTCGAGAAGCATGGGTAGAGCTGCTTCTATTTTTTGCTATTCTACCTACATCTATGATTTTGAAAAGAAAAAAAAGAAAAGTTTTTTTCCATCTACCAAACAATTTTTAGCCTAGTTTTTTTTTTTTTTTTAAGAAAACTGCTTTTAGAAAAAATTGAGCAATCTCAAGTCTACCACAATAATCTGTATCGAACTCTTCATTAATTAGAGTCAAATCAAAGATCCCTAACTTACAAATAGACAAAAAAAACTAAAATTATATATATGGCTAGAACACTTGAATATCTTTTAATTCTATTTGACATATTTGACATCTCATCTGGAAAAAGATCTAAACAGTGTATATATATATTATTTATTTATTTTATCAAAAGATAAATTTGTTAGATCCGATAAGATTTGAATCCACAATACTCATCATTGTGGTAGAGGACCCTCTGAACAGTATATTTCAGTTGTTAAACTTTTTGGTAACTGAAACTAGCACGTGGAAAAGTTTTCAAAGGTTGCATTTTCTCTTCTTTCCCCCTTTTGTTCAAGAATTTTTTTTTTCTTTATTAAAGAGATAAATAATATTAAATTCGAATAAAAAGGTTTACCTCCTCAACCAAAATATTAAACAAAAAAAAAAAAAATCAATACAATCCCACTCAAACGAGCCTCCCTCTTTAAGAACAAACGCCGCCACGGTATGCCGCTCTAATGCCTTCTCTCGGCGAGAACACAAACTCCAGGGAGTGAACACATTCACTCAACATCCAAATATCATGAACTAAACCTTCCGCATTAGCATCAGGTTTCATCTCCTTATTCGGTACGCATCAGACTCAATGATTAAGTCCTGCACTTCTTCCCTACAGCATGCCCGGAGACCTTCGCGAATTGTTGCCATCTCTGCCATCTTACCTGAGTCACACTGCAGCATATCCGTGCCCCCTGCTGACTTATCGGCTGTCTCTCTTCCCTGAGCCGCTGATCTGTAAAACCTGAAGCTTTCTTTGTTCTTCAATGGCGGATATTGTCTACCCCAACCCACCTGAAATCGTTGCCTTTTTTCCCTATTCCTGGTTTGTTTATTTTTCTTTCTTATGATCATGTATAATAACATCTAATTTTATTGCACTTTGCAAGCGACTCTTCCAACTTGGTTGTGTATTTTCATGTTACTGTAATTACCATTTTCTTATTTCGATTTATGTTGCTAATTAATTTCTTTAAATTGAAAACGACTCCAGAGTTGATTAATCTGTGAGTTCAACATGGTAGAATGAATCCCATGGATTGATTGGACGTACTCTCCATATTGTCAATTGGTTTTACGGTGGAACATCAAGTTTCTTTGGTTAGTGTCACCAGATTTTATACCCCGGTCCTCGTAGTTTACTGTTATATAAATTTACTGTAGACTATCACTTTTCAAAATTGGAACTTTGGTTTTGATTGATGAGGATAGTTTATTAATGTACTTGCTCTTGTATATGTAAACACCTTCAAAGTTGATGCCAGTGAAAACCGAATTAATATTGTTTGTTGAAAAATTATGAAAAAAATACAGAAACTGAGGACCACAGAAGAAAGTAGGCAATCTTCCATTGAAATGGGAGAGTCCAACGGCAACGGCAACGGTGCTGAATATGTTTCAGTTGGTGAAGTACATTCCCCTAGGCCTAGGGTAGACAACTTCCAAAAACTCTCACTTCTGCCTCTTGTCTTCATCATCTTCTATGAGGTATCTGGGGGTCCATTTGGGGTTGTGGATAGCGTCCAGGCCGCTGGTCCGCTTCTAGCCTTTGTTGGATTCTTGGTCTTTCCACTCATTTGGAGTGTTCCCGAGGCCTTAATTACCGCAGAGATGGGTACCATGTTGCCTGAGGCTGGGGGCTATGTCGTTTGGGTTTCATCGGCTTTAGGTCCCTACTGGGGGTTTCAGCAGGGTTGGATGAAATGGCTAAGCGGGGTTATTGACAATGCTTTGTATCCGGTTCTGTTTCTGGACTATTTGAAGTCGGCCATCCCAGCATTAGATGGTGGCGTTCCAAGAGTTGCAGCGGTCTTATTTTTGACATTGTTGCTCACTTACATGAACTATAGGGGTCTAACCATTGTGGGTTGGGTTGCTGTTCTTTTGGGAATTTTCTCAATCGTTCCTTTTGTGGTTATGGGACTTGTGGCAATCCCCAAGGTGAAGCCCTCGAGATGGCTAGTTGTAAATCTACACGATGTGGACTGGAATTTGTATCTGAACACTCTCTTTTGGAATCTCAACTATTGGGACTCGATAAGTACACTTGCCGGAGAGGTAGAAAACCCAAAGAAAACTCTCCCTCTGTTCTATGCTTTGATATTAGTTGTTCTTGGATATCTCTTCCCCCTCTTAATGGGTAATGGGGCTGTTCCACTCGACCGTGAGTTGTGGACAGATGGTTATTTCTCAGATATCGCTAAAATAATTGGGGGAGTTTGGTTGAGATGGTGGATCCAAGGTGCTGCAGCAGTGTCGAATATGGGGATGTTTGTTGCTGAAATGAGCAGCGACTCCTTCCAACTTCTTGGGATGGCAGAACAAGGGATGCTCCCTAAGTTTTTTGGTAAGCGATCTCGTCATGGAACCCCAGTGATTGGCATTTTGTTCTCAGCTTCTGGAGTTCTTTTCCTATACTGTTTTGGAATGATTTTGGAGTTCATATCATTCATACGATTAAGGAGTAAGTACCCAGCTACATCTCGTCCTTACAAGATACCCATTGGAACAGTTGGAGCCATTCTTATGTGTATTCCTCCAACTGCTCTAATTTGTGTAGTTTTGGCTCTGTCAACACTCAAGATCGTAGTTGTGAGCCTTGTCGCTATATTGATCGGCCTTGTGATGCAGCCATGTCTCACTTACTTTGAGAGAAAGAGGTGGATCAAGTTCTCCGTCAGCGCCGACCTCCCAGATCTTCACGGTGCTAATCGGGGAAGTGTTGGCTTCATAAGGCATTAGTAAGTCCTCAAAATATGCAAAGCCATTGTATACTCACTACCGTAGGACGTTGGTGTTGAAGCGATGACTGCTCGCTACCGTATACAATTGCATTGCTCGAACACAGAGATCCGGAGAGGACATATACAGAAACGTTGACATGTAGGATGCATGTTGTGACTTGTGGGAGCGATGTATATTGCATGTCCTTCCCTGGAGGTGACATACAAAAATAAGAAATTTCACCAACTCCTAGTCTCCTATAACTTTTGAGTTCTAGTTTTATAATTCCATCGTTTCAAATTTCATGTTTTAATCCATCATTTGATTCAAAGATCTTACATTGAATTTAGAATTGCCAAAGAGATTAAAAACTTGAATTTTTAATCTTTCTTGCAATTGAATTTGCAGCACATTTTTCTTTTTGACAAAGCGATACTCCTAATGTACGAGAAATTCGAACTTGGGTGTAAGGAGGCGGACAAATTGAGTTGCCTCTAAATATGCACAAAACACATCATTAAGGTGTTTCAAGTACCTGAACCGTTATTAAAACAATATACCAAACACAACATTTTAGGGTTAGTTACAATACTCGTGATGCACCGAAATAATAATAAAATTGTTAAAAATAAAGTATCTATTTCGTTAAATCTCAGCTCTACATTTTACTTTACATCAAAACGTAGTGTTGTATTGTAAATTTCGCAACCTCACTACCTTTGAGTGAACAATGGATATCCAAAATTTGCATATAAAATCCCGTACATATATAGACACCTGTCAAGGCGCCAATCCATTTTCTTAGAAAATTTGAAAATTTAAAAGACAGAGGTGAGAGAGGAACAACTGAAAGAAGACGAGTAAGCGACGGGAGAGATGAAGAAAAGCGGCGGAAGTGGAAGTCGAACCCGGAGATGCATAACAGAAATGTTTCTGGAAACGCGGTTACAATTTCCAGTGGCTTCTTCCCCTCCAAACCAACCGTCACCGAAATCGCCAATTTTCAATGCCAGCAGCAGGCGCAAGAGGCCGGCCGTCGCTGCCGGAGGAGGAGCCTCAGCCTCTGTTGCAGCGGCGCTCATGGAATCCCCCAAAAGTAACGCTTTAGCTTCGATTCCTGATCTCAAGCACCTCGCCTCCTCTCGTCTCCGCGATCTCAAGCTCCACGTCGACAGATCCCACTGTGAGATCCTCAAGGATTTTGATTCCTCTCAATCTCGCCTCCACAAGCGATTCAAGGTCTCTCTCTCTCTCATATTGATTCTCTGTTGTCGTACTTTTGCATTATTTAGTCTCGGAGTTGGTGGATTAGTGTCTGTTTGGTTGCTGAGAAAATACCTGAGAAAACGTAAATTCGAATTTTCGCCAAGTAATAACATTATGTTGATTTAATCTCACTTTCAAGTCATAATTAAATCTCATTACTGTTATAAGGTCTGCTAAAGCAAAATAAATTTAAATCTAATTAATTCTTAATTATAATTAAAACTTAATGTCCATTTAATATAAGGTTTTGTCTGCTCTATGATGAACTAGTACTCAGTGGTAGTAATAGTTAGGGAAGAGGAGCATTAGAATTCAGTCTAGGGCACGATTTTTTCGCCTAATTATACGTCTCTTTGTACCGTCAGATCCAGAGCCAGACATGCCAACAAGTTTTGGATGAAGCAGATAAGGAATACAAGAAGATGACCAAAAGGATTACTGAAAGTCGGGAAGCAATGGCGGTATATTAATCTAGTCTTTCTTTGTTTCGTTTACTTACTTCTGATTGTATGTTTGTAGTGCTTATTCATCAAGTGCATCCTACTGCTTTTTTTTCAGGCTTCGTATGCAGAGTTCATGGCAGATGCACAGACCACTGCTTCCCGTGGTATGTCTTCAGTTTAAAACCTCTTTGACATGCTTAAAATATGTGGATTTTTTGTTAGTTATGTCTTGGTAATAATGTCGTACTGATGGAGTCTGGATTCAATCATCTCTACTCACCAACACTCTATGTTACATTATCATCAAAGCATTTGAGAGACGTCGTTCATTTTGAGGCTTTGACGAGTGATTATTGTGTCCATATGTGGAAATCGTTTTTAATCTCATGTTCAAAGTGATACAGGTTGGATAACATTTCTTTATCTGTTAAGTTTCACATTGCCATTAAAACTATTGGCGCGATAATGGCTAACTATTTAGTGTGCTAACTTAGGTTCTTCAGTTTGTTATCTGTTTTGTTTTCTGTTTAGTGTCTGTTTTTTCGTTCTCTTTGCGCTCCCTTTTAATTAGTTCTCGGCCCTACACTGGAGCTTGTTCAGGTGGGGTTTTAGGCTCTGGCCCTTTTGAGTTTTCTTGATTGCCTAGTTGCCTTTGTTCTAAGAAGCGAATCATTGATCAAAAACAAGATATTGTATAACTGCGGAGAAGAGAAAGAAGATTGAACAAACAAGAAAAGAGTGAGAAATAATAAAATGCCTCCTATGAGTCATTAATAAGACTTATAAGTGCTTGGTAACAAACTAACAATCTAACTTGAGCCAACAATGTAACTACTGTTATTCATTCTGAGTACTTTTTCTTTTGGGTTGTATTTCATACTTTTTCAGCTTGCAAAACATCAATCGCTGAGCTTTCACAGTCCTTTGAGAAACAAATCGATGCTCTTTGCAGCTGGTATGGCATTTCAACAAATTAGCAATCAATTGTCCTTGCAATATGATCTACTGAAAGCCTTAGGTGACTGTTCTACTTTTTAAAATTGTTTACTGCTGGTGGGATAATTCAGTTTTATGTGTTTTTAAGCGTCTGATTACGCTGTTTTGTTTTACTCCATATACTGTACATAAATTTACATTCATTACAACCTGTACTAGATTTGAGAAAGAAAAAAAGAGGAGAGAAAGGTTGTCAGTTGTAGAGTATCGGATGTATGCTCGTGATGGGATATTAATAAATTGCTAGAACAAGGGAGACATCTTTTAATGTATTCAAAGGAGTTCAGATGCTTGTGCTAATTCATCTATTTTGGTGGAACATTGTTGGATTAATTAATCTTTAGACTCGTAAATGTCGACCTAATAAGCAAATATAACACTTAATAAACAGCTGCAGAATGCATATCTCCACCTTGAGTAAGAAGTATGACAATACTTGCGCGTCCCCAAACTAGACGGAGACAAGCGATTTGGGGAGGGGGAATCGAATTCAGTTTCTATTTCAATATAACCTGCAAAAGTATTTATATGAATTATGATACCCTGAGCTCGTTCATAGTTTATAGCCCTCGTACCTTCATACGCAAGTTTTTTACATTGTTGGTTTGTGTTTTCAGGCATGTATAGTGCTGACGATAGCAATTGAGACTCCGACGAATCTTGATCAAGAACGACTGGTTGGATCAAAGGGGATTTGAAACCATATCTTGTTGCGGTTTCATTACTAAACAGAAAGCTGCATTTCAAAGTATATTTGTGGTTACTTGATGAAACACAAAGTCATTGGGTTGTGCATGAGTGGTTGAATGTTCTGCTAGTAAATAATTTAGACCAGTGCTTAGCTTTGTGCCTAATGTGTCTATTGAGTTACGCCCTAAATAATTAATTAGTTCACAAAGTTTCCTCCCAAGGCCCTCAGCCCAACATGCCAGCGAGAGTCCCGGCCCGAGCCGGCCTATCCTTTTCTCTCACTCCTCTTGCCTGCACGGGCCCATGCCAAGTGGCCTTGAAGACCCGACCCAAGTCGGCCTCCTCGTGGCCTAGCACGCTGATCCCCTCAGCCCGAGCCGACCCAAGCCCTGAGCCCAGGCCAGCCGACCTTCTTGCCACATCACCAGCAGCCCCGTGGCATCCCTGCCACGCCACTCACACCTCTTAGCTCCTGCTGAGCCAATTTTTCAAGTCTCAAGACTCCCAAAGACATTTAAGAAGAAAATTCAAATTTTTCTTACCTTGGTGCGACATGGAGAAGAAGAACAACGAGAGACGACTCTTTACAAGGGCAAGAGAAAGAAAGCTAGGGGAGGGGGAAGCAAAATTTCCTCTTGCTTCTTTTCCTGGTTGGAATAATAATTGCTTTCCAAATTTATTTAATCCACTGCTTAAGGCAGAATTGAATAGGTATTGGGGGCAATTGGTTTCCTTTTCCTAAAAGAAGTCTATCTTCAAAACAAGAAAGGAGATCAAGTTCAAATTGGGAAACAACTTTACAAGCCCAAGCGGTTTGAGATTTCTACACCTACTATCATTTTCTTGCTTGCAGCCTAGTAGGTGTAGGGGCATTTATAGAGACTAAAATAATCCCAAAAATTCTAGAGGCGACACTCGAATTTTTCTCTCAAGAAAGTCAAGATTGCCATCAATAAATGGGCATGCTTCTCAGATACTCCCACGCATAACTCACACTGTTGAATGTCTCAGCAGTTGAATACGATTGTCCACAGCTCACCTGACCTTGGCAATGAATTAAAGATAAGGATTAATTACCCAAATCCTACCTTTAATACATTCCTAATTGAAGATTGACTTCAATCAAGTAAGTAATTCCAATTTAAATAAATTAGAGATAATTACTCTATTATCTCAAGATATTATTTTCTATTTAATGTCTTGGGAATATTATGAGAATATTTCTCCATAAACACTTTGGCTAATAGGATGACATCATGTGTAGGGTAAAACCCTAACACTATAGTCGGCCTTATCCCTATAAATACCTCATATTTTACCAAATTTTTAGAGCTTTTCTACCCTAAAAAAGCCATAAACACTTTATTCTCCTCAGAGAAACTAACTTAGGCATCGGAGATCCATTGACCTAACACCCCCCCCCCAACCTCGTGGGCGCGTGAGGCTTAGGACTTTGATCAAATGTGTTGATTGTTTTGCAGATGCATTTTCGTCAAGACTGAAGACGGTGGAAATTTGCATTCATATAGGAAACGAGAATCACATCATTACACATCTTGAAGATTATAATATCAATTTAATTGCCTAGTTTTAAGAAATAAAATCAATTTGATTTTATTCTAGTACATAATTCCAGTTTCCTTTATTCTAAGTTGTTGGTTTCATAGGAAATCAAGCCTATCATTCATCTTTGCTTGGTTATAAGATTTGAGCACAAAAGGTTTAAAGCAAAGTTCTTGAGTGCTAGGTTAGAAGAGTGATCTTAGTGAAACACTTCATACCTTTCATATTATTCATCATATTCATTTGTGTGAAGAAGTTGTGTCCATCTATGTGACGAAGTTGAGTGCAATCTCTTTAGTTGTGAGAAGAACCTGCTGAGTGCGTCGTGTATATCCAAAAGAGAGCAAAAGAAAGATTGTGTGCTACAAGATTAAAAGTACAAGAGAAAACTTCAAGTGTAGTAGATGTTTGTCTTGTTGAGTCTTGTAAAAGTACTTATTTCTTAATGGTTCTTTAATCGGTTGTGTGTCCATGAATTATATCGTGAGTCTTTTGTTCCTTTTTCTCTATTTCATTTTGTTCTTCACAGTTATGTAGTATGATTGAAATCGTACTCGAATCCTCGTGTGGAATTTAGTTGAGATTATTTATCTATTGGGTTTGGGTTCCTTGACCCAGCTACGCTTTCAAAGTAGATGCTATATCACTAAAATTCAACAACACCTTTGTAATTGCTATAACAAGATATCCTCTGATTATCTAAAAAACAAAACATGTCAAGAGGAATCGTCACTTTATTTAAGATCCTTTATATGTCAGATAATGTTATTGAATTACTGTATTACTAATATAAGGATCAAACTGTTGATATGCTATATATACTAAAACTCGGCGGATGAGTACTGTCCAAAAACCAATGTGTTTATCCACGGGGTAAAACAATTGGTGATTGTTTTGTTTATTATATATATAATTGTTTTTCTCATGAACTCTCTCACTGGCTGTTGCAACTTCTCTCTCTCTGAAAGTGGGTTTTCTTTTCTATGCATGTTATTATTTTATTTCTCTCTTACTGTTTATTATATCTACCTGTCCATTATCCGTGCTTCTTCCTCCTATCACTCTCAAGTCAAGTATTTAAAGCCTTTTCTGGTTGCTTTTGGTTTACATTATGCCACGTGTTGATCGTCTGTGGTTCCCCCTTTTTCTTGTTGCTTCTGGTTGCTTTTGGTTTTGAACACCCATACAAAACACTAGCTTCACTCATAGTAATAGTCCTTATCTTTTATGTTTAACATAAAATAGATAATGATGCATGATTATGGATTACAAATTATTTTTTATTTATTCAAATTTTGTTTTTACTCTTTCATCCTACATATGACTCCATTTTTCAATCCATGTCAAATAATTATTACATATTATTTATTAACTGCTATAAAACGTTTTTTTTAACACTTTGTTTTACAATTTTAGGAAACGAAAAAAAAAATGCTAACTCAGCAACGAACTTACAAGGTTGACAAATACGTTTTCAAGCAATGACGACACAAACATTCAAAGGGATGTAAAATTAGTTATTACTTTATTAATTTTGTTTTATTGACATTTTACATTTAATTTCAATTTTTACTAAGCTTTCTCTTTAGGGGAATTAGATATTACTCGTACACACACACACACACTCGTACACACACACAAACTATCTTCTTTTCACATGATCTAAATACATGACAAAATTACCTGCTTGCATATTGAAAGGTTAGATTGAATATCCAAAAGTACAAAAGTAGACATTTCCACCATAGATATACCCTCTCCATATATTTTAATCTGATATGTTCTTTCACATATTTAGAAAAATATGGACAAAGCATATCTTTAGTGGAACGATGCCTTTTTATACTTTTGAACGTTGGCCTTAAACCTTTCACTAGACAACCAAATAATTAGTCATGTATTCACAATAAGTTAGCAGAAGAAAGTATGTGTATAAATTAGTAATAGTTAATTCCTCTGAAGAGAAAAGATGGAAATGATGATTCTTACTTTAGATAATCAAAACTGAGTTTATCAATTTACATAAATCTGATCTGTCTTAGAATGGCATTTAATTTTGTTTTAAAAATTATATTAATGGCAAATAAACTCTTATTTAACGATAGCATGATTTGCAAGACTTTTGAAACTCTTATATAACGCTATCACTAGATATATTTTATTGCATGACACACCAATTTCCATCTTTGTTGTACTAAATTGCAAAAAACATATCTTTTCTTATATTGGTCAAACTAAGACAAATTCGGCTTTCAATGTGCCGAATGTAGTAACCTGTAACACCTCACTTCGCCGAGATGGCTAATGAGATGACCTCTGCCAATAAGGATTTGAAAATCCTTCTCGACTGAGACTTGGATAGATAACCAGTCGGCCTCGACGCAGTGCTGTTTATCCAAACTGAAGGTGCTCCGGGAACGGCTAATTCTACAACAACAGTGCTGTTTATCCAAATTGAAGATGTCACTGGTTGCCTTCACAGTGATGTTTATCCAAACTAAAGGTGTGTTGGCGGAAAAAGAAAGTAAAAAATCTCAAGATGTTTGAAAGATTTGCGCATGACAATTTGTGTGTTAAATTGGAGAGGACTTGTTCGTTGCACATCGCTTCGTATTTATAGCGATGAAAAATCTAACGAGCATGAGCAGATAACACGGCTTTTCTTGATGGTTGCATATTTTTACGCTGACCCAATGAATGACCAGGTGATAATGCATAAGACATGCTTCCTACTTCAACCAGGAGACTCCCTTCTCAATTTTATTGTCCAAAAGCACTCATGCAATCCGTTGCAAATCGCCAAGTGTAATCACTATCTCACCACTATCTCACCAAGCCACGTGCATGATAACA